AAAAAAAATCGTAGACATATTCATTATTAATGTTAGCAGATCAAATTAGGGGTGATGCCCGTCCGACAAAGCAAACCCCCAAATCTTTGTTGATACTGGCGGACAAAATGTACCGCCAGTCAATATCATTATTGGCGTGGGATCGCTTTATTGGCATAGAGCGATGCATGACCAAGGGAAGAAATTTCCGGCCAGCAAATGCATATATTGCTTGTAAATTGCTGCCCCGACAGACATCCGATGAATCCTTTGGTCTCGCAGAAACAGTGGAGGTGGTTTGAATGGCGCGTACTTTTTAATATAAAAAAGATATTTCTGGTTGAAAATGTATGATTTTTCTTGTAAATTAAAACGTAAACATACATACTCGTATCTCGTAGAAACAGCTGAGGTGGTCAAAAATTTAACCATTTAACCATCTGTTTAACTTCGCCTTTTCGAGCGATAAATTTAAGTATCTGAGGTATATCGGCCGAGTAAAGTAGTAAGGTTGAGAAATATCACACATTTTGTTCGATAGAATAGTCTCCGTCACGGCCCTTATCGGCGATTTCTAAGACTGGAATTACTGAAGCATTGACCAAGAAGTTAGGATCGAAAAACATAGTTCACAACCTGTAGGTCAATCCCAGTTTCATAAATTGCCGAGTGATTCAAATAGCAGATATCGCTATGCATTCGATGCACCCTGCTTCATCCTCGTTTATAGTCCGAGTCCGATGCTACATCCCCGTTGGTTTCTACCGCCTACCGATTTCAATAATGAAAACCTTTAATTTGATAAAAATTGCAAAGAACTTTGTAAATTCATTCATTGATTTATATTTTCTAACCTGAATGTGAGAACAATTGCCACAACACAGTCATCGCCTGCGCGTTTCATGCTTAACGGAAATTTTCCATGTAATAGACTGACAAGCTCGAGAACCATTTTCAGTTTCTGGACCAGTCCATTTTCAGCAAAGGGGTGCATAAACAACTAAAGATGTACATACATATGTCGTCTGCTTTCGATATTTACAGTGTCGAATCAAGCAAAAGAAAAAAAAATGACAAAAAGATTTGCCTTTCACGTGGATTTTTACAAGTGGTTCATTAATATTTTCACGTGTGCAAAGGAATATAATTAAAAAATCAACGTTATGGTAATTTACGAAATTATCCGGCAGTTACCGAATAGGATGAATTACGTCATAATGTTGTCGGATGGAAATAAACTTCCCATAGTTAGTACTAATATTAGCACCCTTAGTACTACCTTGTGTACGGAGAACTAATATGAGTCTATGTGTGTCACTGGAGCAGCCGTGTGTGATTCACACCCGGCTCTTTTTTTTTTAGCCTGATAATAAAAAATTTGAACATGTTCTTTGATATATAATGATATAAATTGTGTAGTCCTCTTATTTAATACTGGAATTATCGCAAATCATTGTAGAAATAGTGGTAAAATCTCGCTTACCTTTCTTATCCGATATTTTCGTTTCGCTTACCTTTCTGATCCGATATTTTCGTTTTGATTGTCCGCCATATTAGTTCAGATAATGCCTACTTCCGTTCTCAGCCTCGTTTGTTTGTGTGCCATATAAGGACGTTAATGCATTTTTGGAAACGTAAATAGATGGTAGTAAAAACAATATAGCGCGGTGTGAGTCGGAAATCCTGCGCATTAAAAGTAAATGCGGTTTACCGGTGACTTTGAAATTCCACCAAGAAGCAATTTTTTTCTCAACAAAAACTGCATTCTGCAATTTATGCAATTATCCATTCTCCATCTTCTTGCGTTATGTCATTTAACAACCAATACCATAGAGTAGAATATTCATATATAGTCTGGCAAGCCTTATGTAGGAAAGGGTCACGGCGTGAGTCTCGCGTTATCTGTCATGGTGGACAGGGTGAGGTTAGCATAACTATGCCAATTTATTTTACCGTGTAAGGGCTTAATAAATTCAAACCAAGCCAAAGGTCTTTGAGAAAATGATTATACTTATTTAGTCTTTGACAAAATGATTATACTTATTTAGTAGATTTCTAAACATTTTGTGTTTCTGACTTTAGTGAGAATTTTTTATTTTTTATTTTGCTCCATTATATAATATGGGATTTGTCCGAAGCCTCAACCACAACAAAACAAGTTGAAGCCTCGACACCGTAGCTACCCCATATGGCGCCGTGTTAGTATGGAAAGTCTTTTAAGCAGGAAAGATGCACTATCAAACTTTAGATATTATCCATATACAAAAAAAGTTCCAAACATTTAATGAATTGCTAAGTTCAATGTGACATATGTCTTGATTGGAATTTATCAAAGTAAAATTCTTCATAAAATACTTTTTACATATGTTTTTGCAAAAAATAAAATAGTCCGTGATAAACGCTTTGATCTTTAGTCTGATTCCCTACAAAAAAAGCATCCTGAGTAGCATACTGCATTCCAAGCAGGGAACCAGATTTTTTTGTCAAGCTCTTCGATTTCGGAGGTAAATAATTTTTTTCAGGTAGTCCGCAATTTCATAATATAAATGACTGACTGTCAGAAGTTTGAAGTCGAAAGATGATATATTTTCAGCCGTCTCAAGGGCAGAGGAAGCGTGATGCAGCTGTCAGCAAAGGCAGTTTAGAGGCTTATTACAATTTTGAGACGCATTAAAATAAGGCAGTCCAAATAACCTCTTTCCCTAAAATCTAAGGGCACTTGACTATAAAATGTTGGCTCACTTAATCTTCTTTGGTGAACCTAACTAGAACATATTGGGGCTCCATAAGGGTACATGGTTGTAGTTTGGTTGAGCTTAAAAATCGAAAATAAAGAAAATGTTAAAAAATGAATTAGCGCAGACACGGGCGCCAGCATGATTTTTTTTAGCAGGAGTGGTGGTGTCAGGAATGTTGGGGGGGGGGGTCAGTCAGTGACGGCCGGGAGAGTTTGTATAAGAAGCAGTCTGAAACTAAAGCTAATATATACTAAGAGTTTTGAACAGAATCTTGTGACATTTTCAGCTTCATTAATGTGATCAAACTCGTAGGAATATATATATATATATATATATATATATATATATATATATATATATATATATATATATATATATATATATATATATATATATAATGTCACAGACCCCTTGACATCTAGCTAATAGAATGATTGTTACTCCATTTGATAGAATGATTGTTACTCCATTTGAGAGTTCTAGTGTAACCATATTTATTGTGAGAGTTATTATGACGTTATGAAATATAAGTTTTGTGAAATATAAGACTGAGTAAAATATTTAGGGAATTTAGTTAACTATGACATAAATTCTTGTAATTGAACAGAGCAATCAACTTTTTAAGACAGGTTGAGATGGTCAAGCCCCACAGCCAGTGTAGCGCCTTGGGCCTCGCAAACTATAGATTCACAAACTATAGATTCGAGCCTGGATTCCGGTAAAATTTGCATGCATCCATATTGATTGTTTGAAACACAATTATTCTAAAATCATGGAAGCACCCATAGAAAAAACAAAGTCAGATCTGAAAAAGGAGTCTTTAACACTATTTAAAATATATTTTAATTGGTAAGGATCACATTTGTGTCCATACACTTTGTTATTTTGACACCAAAATAAAAATACTTCCAATCAACTCCCTAAGGCAGGAGATGATCGGCAGTATTTTAGTTTTGGTTTTAACTGTTCATTGCAAGAAGCCTTTAAAATAAACACCCTATGTTTCTGTAAATATCTCTTCACAAGATGGCTGTCATGGCGGTTATAGGTTATATCGGATGTCATATCAGCATCATTTTTATTTCAGCCATCTGCTCAGAATAACAAGATTTTCAAGATAGCCACCACCATGGACCATGTTGGGTGTCGGATGTTATGTGATAAACTAGATGCCATAAGTAGTCAACCAATCAGGAGGCATATTGATAAAAAGATTTAAAGATGGCGACCTTGTGGGGTGTCAAACAAGTTTCATGCAGGTATGTGTTTGCTAGTTCATTGTACTTGACAGAAATTATCCTTGCTTGTCTCTCTGACCCTTACCTTTGACCACCAGCCCCATAGATTTTCTTCATTGCAATATGTACAAGTCATTTATGAAATTTGGTGATTGTATGTTAGCAAGAAATCAAATTATCATGCAGAAACTTTAATCTAAGACCTGTTGAACTCATTTTATTTTCCTTACCTGAAGCATAAGCCATAGTCGGGCTATTGTGAGGAAAGGAAATTGTGTATGTATGTATGTATGTTTGTATGTATGTATGTATGTATGTATGTATGTATGTATGTATGTATGTATGTATGTATGTATGTATGTACATATGTTTAACTGCACATGAGTTGGAAATGGGCTATGCAATGCTATTTAAAAATCAAGATCTAAAAATGTAAAAATAAAGAATTGCAACAAAACTTTGGGGAAAATAAACCTTTCCAAATAAATGCAAACATGAACTACTGCAATATAAAGATAAAAGGTGGAGATGTTAAAATTCTGCTAAATGAATCTAGTAAAAACAAAAAAATCAAATAAATTGGCAGACAAACTGATGAAACGCATAACATAGTTTGCTCCACTTCATGGCAGGAATATCTTAATCGTAAGACTTGTTTTTTTTGTTTTGTTTTCTTTTGTTTTGAACTGGGGCAGACCTTATTTTCACCAGCATGTACAGTTTAAGTATGAACTTTAGCCATCTGATTGGTTTAAGTCTTAAATTTCATCCAATCATCAAGCTGAAATAATTACTTTGTTAAAGTTCAGATTTATGTGATTTTTATTTCAATTTTTTATGTAGCTTTACCAAATTTAGTCATATCGCTATGATGTCTGCACTGGTAGTTTATAGTGATGTCTAGCACTGGGGCTTCATGCCACAGCAAGCTGTCCCACCTAGTCAAATTATCCTGACATTGGGTCGATCAGTCCTGGCACTAACCCCTTAATGCTGAGCATGAAGCGAGTCAGCTTTCTAGTACCATATTTATAAGTCTTTGGTATGACTCGGCAGGGTTTGAACCTGCAATCTTCTGCATCTGAGGCAGACCATCTAACCACTTCAGCCACTTGAGTGGTCCAAGTTCAGATTTATGTTTGTTGGTGAAATGAACTGTATGTCCAACATATGTTCAGTTAATGAATCTAAGTTTGTGATGTGCTAAAAAAGATTCAGGATGATCATGTATAGATGCAAAGTAGGAAAGTAGGAAAACAATATGCCCCTCATTTGCTATTGTATGGGGGTGGGGATTTGTTGTGTGGAGAAGCATAAAAATGAAAACAAGAAAATAAGTGTTAATTTCATAAGTTTATTTTATCTAGCACAATTGAATGTGAAATAAATAGTATAGTTGCCAAGTCTACTTGACTAAAGAAAACAATACACAGCAAGACACATTTTATGTGTCAAGTAAAGAATGCAACATTACAACAATTTGATAAAATCTAACTTGAACATTTCTACTTTGAAGCAATCAACACTACAGGCACCAAGCAACTATTCTCAGCTACTAGACAGAAGTCATTTACGTGGATGCATACTGCTATGATAGGATATCTAACACGCTATGTAAAAGCTTTAAAAAAGGAACGAAAAACACCTGCATAATAAATAATGACATACAACATAGAGGCCAGAGTAAAATATAATTAAGAAAATAATGGAACACGCTTCATGTCAATGACATACAAACTGCCAAAAGTAGAATAAAAAAAATTGCAAACTGCCAATATTTTTTCTTGCCTTCAAAAACGCTTCTTTTCAGTTAAAAGTAAAAAAAACGTTTTTACAAAATGGAAATAAATGTAAATTCAGAAATGCAATTAACTTAAAATGCTACATGACTCTCATCCCAATTTTCTGTAATGATACAGATATATTTACAAATATACCCCAGTTCTTTAAAGAGACTATAAAGAGATACGTCCATTTCAACAGCCTGATAGGTATACCCTACAAGTTTTCTGAAAATAAAAAAAAAAAAGATAACCAAAAACAATGACATCAGAGCTTAGGAATTTTAAGCAGGTACCAGTTTTACCCATAATGCCCAAAAGAAAATTACCCAAAGACTTGAAATTTTTTTTTTATAAATTTGTACAAAAATGCCCACATCAATCATCGTTTGGTATATAATATATTTGTAACTGAAATTTACATTTCTTTTCCTGCTCTAAAAGACTGAACTCTTGTGTTGTCAAGGTAATCAATCTTAATTTCTCAAAGCATCATGTTCTAAACACTGGAAGAGTATAATGGGTTTTTCTTTATGACACAGCTGAAATGTACTAGAGTAAAACACACAACACCATGGACTCGGATCTATTACATCACGAGTTGGTAGATCAGAGTATATGTTATTTTGGTTAAAATGGTAAGAAGAACATCAAGCATAGACTATGATATTCCAGTTACCACTTTGTGTTGTTTTGATTGATATGGTAATAAGTACATCAGGAACAGACCCTGATATCCCAGTCCCCAGTGTCACTAAATTTCTCAAACTGCTTTTCAAATTGAGATTTTGCCTTGTGAAGTTTCTTATACTAATGATGCTGAGGTTTTCCTCATAGGTAGAGATAGCAGAAACCATGGAAATTGAATACGAAAAATTATTCTTCTGATCAATTCCTAAGATTTGAGAAAATCATGTTTTCCTCACACATAACTCTTTTCAGAAGAATAAGATTACAACTTTATATGAATTGGTTACAACTGCAGAATATTCAGTAAAAAATGAATTGTTGTTAACTCGTGAGTAAAAAAGAAATTTTTTAGAAAATCTCAATTTCTCAATTTCAAGAAAAAAATTTGAGATATTTTGTTAACTGAGGCCAGAGGGGCTGTGTGATTGCACAGCTGGGTTTGCAATATTCTCAGTTACAGGTATTTTACACAAGAGAAAATGGTGTGTGTGTGTGTGTATATATATATATATATATATATATATATATATATATATATATATATATATATATATATATATATATATATGCTGCCTTAGTGTGTTCTTTTGGAAATGCGATTAGCTTCAAATTCCCTAGCATCTTATAGCAAATAATTTGTTAGCAGTGCAGTTAAAACTGAAGCAGAAAACCCCCAAATCTCACTCAGGTGCTTAATTCGGTAAGAAATGGCAGGTGAATAAATTAGGTACATGTACATGTATTTAAGCACCCAAATATAAATATTAAATGCATATATATACTTGTACAAAACAAGAAATCTATTCATACCAAATTAATTCCCTTGCATATATATATATATATATATATATATATATATATATATATATATATATATATATGAATGATGCATATATCTTATGCAGATAAAGAGCATAGTTCAAAGTTTAATAGGATGTAGTAACTCTATAAAAATTGCTTCAAAACAATGAAAATTGAACAAGACCTACCAGCAGGTGACCATAATGTAAACAGTCATTACCATTTAGTTTTAATAGATGAAGTTCACAAGTTATTGAGCAGAAACAAAATTGGCAATAAATAGGAATATGACTGATGGACATAGGCAAAACTAATGGCTATTGATAGGAACTAATGTGACAGATGGATATGGGTAACACTGCTGGCAATGGATAATGTGACAGATTAACATGGGCAACACTAAAGGCTATTGATAGCAAGTAATGTGACAGATGGATATGGGTAACACTGCTGACATGGATAGGAAGTGACAGATTAACATGGATAACACTAATGGCTATTAATAGCAAGTAATGTGACAGATGGATATGGGTAACACTAATGGTATGGATAGGATGTGACAGATTGACATGGATAAAACTAATGGTTATTGATGGGAACTAATGTGAAAGACAATGCTGGCTATGGACAGGAAGTAATGTGACATGGTCAGGGGAAAATTAATGTATGGATATAGATAGGAATCAAGGTGACAGATGGACATGGTTAACACTAGTGACCTCATTGACAGTTATGGTGGGGGACATAAAACCCAGTTTCTCGTGGGTGTTTGCACTGATACTGTTTCTTTTTCTTCAAGTTGAAATGTTAAGGACTAGAGTGATATTTGTCTAATATCTTTAAATGTCATCTGTCTAACTGATTGATATGCTTCATACCATAATGCAAAATCATGCTGTTTTGGCATCCTTTTATAGTTCACTCATTCAAGCACCTATTCAAATGTCCCTTTTAATCATTAACTCAGCCAATTTAATCACTGATTCAGTTTTCAGCCCATATAAGATGAAAGTTATATTCAAATTGTTTTATTTTCTTCCCATGATGAACACTGGCTTGGTGGTTAGCATGACAGACTGAAAAGATCTGGGTTTGAATCCTGTTACTGGATTAGCTTCCTTCTGTAGTTTTCATGATCTTAATTTCATTTTGCTATCAATAAACACATTTAATTTATAGCAATATTTCTCGATGCTGAATATGACAAATAATATGCTTGATAATTTGACCCTGAATATATCGACTGTTTGGTACAAAAATTCTCTGCATTTTTATCAGTGTATCTACATGTATTCCTTTAAATTGTCCTTTTTCCTTTAGGGTCATGGTTGAGATGGAGATGGTGGGATTTTTCAGCAAACAAAATAGGATATATGGTGGAAACATTTGAAAATTGAATGGTAAATATTAAAATTCATTTAAAACTATTATGTTACAGAAGAAAAATTATACACAGGTGCCTTACATTATTGCATGACCATCTGGGCCAGAACTTTTGTACTGAGTTAAAAGCAATTATGCACTGATTTGTCAGAAACTGATTGGAATCTGTTCCTGCATGATTTATTGACAGATACTACCTGTAGACAAGGAATCAATTAAACAGACAGTCAGAAAGATGTAACCAAGACAGAGTTTTACTTTCTGCATACTGGACAACAAAGGAATATAGGGCATAATCACATCAGTTATGGCTGTTTGAATATGTTCAGCATTTTTTCAATGACATCTGCATTCAAACATCAACATTGCACGTGTGAAATGAGTATAGTTTTATCTTAATATTGTTTTTCCTGAGCAACATTTTCAGTGCATATATATTATGGGTGCTGGGGTTGGCAGGTGAGATAATTTTATCATGTATAAATACTGATCATAAAATAGACTGCTAAAGGTTTAAATGTTTTTTAGTTTAATCAAATAAACATCCCAAACCCAAAATTTCTTCCTTTCAAGCTCTTTGTGTTTAGAAAAGAACGGGAAGTACAGGGAAGTACAGGAAATAACGTGTATGATCCCAATGGTAAATCAATATGATCAGACTGGTTTACATTTAATTTATACAATAAATATATATCAAGATATTTTTATTTCATTGATCCTATATTAGACTGGTTTAAAAAAAAGTGTAATTATTTTGCATTCATCCTCTGTACAAATGAGCACATGACTTTGGACACTACCAACATTTTATTTTTATTTTAAAAATAAAATGTTTTTAATACATTTAATAAGTATTTTTAAATAAATAAAATGCTAATGGAAAAATAAATATACTGTACTGAGATCTATTAAGCGATGATGCTGGTATCGGAATGGACTGTACAAAATATTACTTATCCACCTTCAAAAACTAGTTTTATTAATTTTGAAACCTGATGGAAATACATGTTTCTTGAAGCCTAGTCATTTCTTGAAGTTGGTGCTGATTGATGTTCTTGAACATTTAACAATCTATAAAAACAACATTCACAATAAATAAGCGGAATATTATAACATAAATTTGCAGAATGTGGACTTTTTTACTTTTCATGATTTTAAAGCAAATAAACAAGTTTGATAATGGATTAGCGCAAGACTGTAAATGCTATATGCACCCAATGACATTAACAAATGTTACATTACGGTGTGACACTGGAAATCTATTATATCCTGTTACAATGCAAGGTCAAGTAAACATTAAGTAATTAAATACTATCTTGCACAATATCTTATTATATACCAAAACCACATCATTACTCATTTTAAGGCGTAACGATGGTGATGATTTCTGACTAGACTGGTTCCTTGTAATTTTACACCTTTTTGCTTATTTCCAAAGCTTTTTGATACAAATCCTGCTTCTCTCTA